GTGTCCTCTTTTTGTTTTTAATACATGTGATCCACCCATCCATTTTACCATATCAGATTGCATGTGTGTGTTAAAACAGGCCTGCATAAATTTGTAAAGGACAAAGCAAACCAGACACAGCTCACCATCTACACAGTATGCCTCAGGCACTTATAAAAAAGAAGTCATCTGTTTTGCTGCCTTTCTGCAAAAAGGAAATATGTTGAATCCGCCTCTCTCCACCCACCCACCCACCCACCCACCCACCCACCCCAGTTTACTGGAACCATTAGTTCCTTGCAACATGGAAGATGCCCCAAAGCTGCTCCCCTTTGCCCATCCTTAGCAGCAAGGCAGGGAATGCAGGAGGGGAGACAAAGCCAGGCGGAAGGGTCCAGCCAGCCTAGGGTTTGCTCCAGGAATCCTGCACAGCTCTTGGGGCTCAAGCTCATGGAAATTCAGAGAACAAAACAAGTACAACCAAATGCACCAAACAGCATGTTTTAGCAAGAAAGTGATCCTTTTGTATCACAAAAGATGATGTGTAAAAGGAATACAGTCCTTTGGATTATATAAGATGTTGTATAGAGCACAAACAGTCATTTTATTTACAACGAAAGAAAAAAGGACTTGAGGCTTTGCTCAAACAAGGCATCATGCCATATTTGCCTATGTACCACAGGGTGGTACTGTGATATCCACAAACTAACATAGATACCTTTCTTTGGTAGTTATGTTTGTGTTTTCAACAGAAATAGAAACCAGCTGTTTGTCCAGTGTTACTACATCATCTAGGCTAGAATATGTTCGTTGTTAAAGCTCTACGGTATTCAGAGCCATTGTGAGACAAAACAATAAACCTTTTAAAAAATTTCACTAGCCCTCTATGCTTTAGAGTAGTGGGTTTCAAATGGTCCAGACCCAAGACCCAAGACCCACCTCCCAACCTGCAACATGGCACCTACTTCCACATATTCATTTTTTATTTATATTTAATAGCACTAATAAGGCACATGATTAATCCTAAAATGGCAATTTACAGAGCAAGCTTAGTATTGCTACTATGTAGATGAAAACCAGTGGGGTTTTTCCCACACTTGCTCAAAATTTCAGTGAGACATCTGGACATGTTTGTTGTTCCAGATTTCATTCCAGTGAGGAGTGATATTAGAAAGGCCAACTCACATCTCATTCCATGCAGATAAACTGTTGTTTTTTGGATCATGATTCTTGAGAAAGTCTGATCACAAGACAAGTGGTATACAAAATAGCAGCGGGTGGATGATTGTTTCATTTGCTAATTCTGGGTATGTATTCTTTAGTCACTGAAATCCAAAACTTTGGTAAAGTTACTTGATGAAATTTGCCTTTTAAGGTTGTGTCACAAGAGAGCTCAAGGAACTGTTCTTGTAACTCATATCTTGATTCCAGTGCCTCTGTGTCCACAGTGAATAATTGTACTCACTGTACATCCTCACACAGTTTTGGGGGGAAATAGGCACAGAACTAGTTAACTGCTCTACATATTACATAACTTCTCCTTTGACGGAAACAATTATTTACTTTTTGATCAACCAGTCAACCACTCAAAAACCAGTCAAAAGTGGTAAAAGCCACCATGAGTTGTCAAACGAAGCACATGCTGATTATTTATTTCTGAAGAAAACCAGAACAGCCTTGAGCAACTGTCCTCCTGACAATCACCTCACTTTTATGCGTAAGAAGAGTTTGGAGTGCAGAACCCACTCCTTTGCAGAGAACTTGTATGCTTTTGATTAAATTAACAATTTTCTTAATTTTAACACATTTTTCTAGAATAGGGTCCACCTACTTGGAAGCTAGGGTTTCTCTGTGAAGAGAGTGCTTTATCGAAGTTGCATTTGAAGCAACTTTGTGAACAAGTCGGATCAGTCCATTCTTCCTGTCATAGATGATGCAAAGTTTTCTTGCTCTTAAAAACTGGTTGCCTATTATTTGGGGATAGGGGGAATCAAGAGGCTTGTATTAAAAACTGGTGTGCTCCCCCCCCGCCCACCCCAATGCCTCAACGGACACTTCATTTGCTAGTGTCTTGCCACATTTTACCCACTGAAGTATTGGCATGCTACTTTTTTCAATATTAGTGAACTCATTTTCATTGGTCCAAATCTCGGATCCTTTTAGTGGTTGTGACCTCTCTTTTCACTTCAGTCATGTTGAGCAAGTGGACAAGTCATCATCACCCTTATGCTTGCGTTTTCTTACCAGAAGAGCATCCAGGTAGCATCTCCCTCACCATCTGTTTCTTCTCCCACTTTCTCTTTCTGGTGTGTTCCCTCCCTTTTGTTTTCACAACAACCCTGTGAGGTAGGCAAGACTGAGAGTTCAATAACTGGTTTAAGGTCACTCTGAGCTTTATGGCTGAGTGGATTCACACCTGGGTCTCCTTCTAGCCTTGACACTCAAACCGCTGCAACTCTGTTGGGATTTCTGCTAACACACAGGAAACCAAAACTGTTCACCAACCTGGGGCTCTCAGAGCCAAGTCAGTAACGTGTGCCCAGTTCCTTGTGGCACAATGGACCAGTGCATCTCACTGTTAACTAGAAGGTTGGGGGCTCGTGCCCACCCAGGGATGGCTGTGGGCAGGATTCCTGCATTGCAGGGGGTTGGACTAGATGACCCTTGGAACCACTTCCAACTTGATGATTCTATGATTCTATGTGCTGTAAAAGCCCAATCCCAACATGGGTCACATCTCCAACACACACTGAGAGCACACGTGTAACAATTAACAGTCTCATTGTCCCCCAAAGAATCCTGGGAACTGTAGTCTGTTAAGGGTGCCGATCTCTCAGAGCTACAATTCCCAGTCTCGTGGTATTGAATGGATCACATACTACAGCCACTTCTTTTTTTATATAATCATTTTTATTAAATTTTCTGTTTTACAATTTCAAATAAGCATTTTACAAACTTTAAAATACAGTGGTACCTCGGGTTAAGTACTTAATTCGTTCCGGAGGTCCGTACTTAACCTGAAACTGTTCTTAGCCTGAGGTACCACTTTAGCTAATGGGGCCTCCTGCTGCTGCCACGCCGCCGGAGCACGATTTCTGTTCTCTCTTTTTTTTTAATAAATATTTATTAGGATTTTACAAATTATAACAAACATATCAATACACACAAACACAAACAAAAATAAATAAATAAATAAACAGGTATAGTTTCAAAACCTTATTTTCTTAAGACTTATTTCACCGACCTCCTCATACCTCCCCTTTCTGCATTCCCATTTCAAAAATTTAGTTCAGCAAATCCTCACCCTTAATTTTGTCTAATTATCATCCTTACTTTCCTTTCACTTAATCTTTACAGCTGTACTCCATTTGATTTTAAAAGCCACATCATTCTAAGATTCATGAATTTTACAATATTTCTTAAGATAATTCTTAAATTTCTTCCAATCTTCTTCCGCCGTCTCTTTTCCCTGGTCTCGGATTCTACCAGTCATTTCCGGAGCACGATTTCTGTTCTCATCCTGAAGCAAAGTTCTTAACCTGAAGCACTATTTCTGAGTTAGCGGAGTCTGTAACCTGAAGCGTATGGAACCTGAAGCATATGTAACCCGAGGTACCACTGTATCCAATGACTTCCCTTCTCTTTCCATTGTTCATTTTACATATCATACATCCCTGCATATTTTACTATACCCATTCAAAGCAATTTCCCACTTTTACATCCATCAAAAATTATTTACTCTGTTAAATTTGTCTTAATGCTGCCAGAATTTCCAGCTGTATACAGTTATTTTCCATATATCCAATAAATGTTTTCCAATCTTCTTTAAATGCATGTTCTTCTTGCTCTCTTATTCTATATGTTAAATCTGCAAGTTGTGCATATTCTTTCAACATAAGTTGCCAACCGTCTTTAGTTGGGACCTTGCTCACTTTCCATTTTGGGGCTAACAAAACAAGGGCCGCAGTTGTTGCATACATAAATAGCCTTTTCTGGCACCTGAGAATTTCAGTCTGGATTATCCCTAGTGCTCCCCCCCAGGGGTATGCCGGGGTATGCATACCCCTCAACATTTTGTGAATCTGACTGATGAATTTAATACTGACTCCATCAAGAGCTTCATTGCATTTAAACACTGTAGCCAACTTAATATTTATAAAATTGGTAGGCCCTCCGTTGAGTTTGTTTAAGCCTTCAGTGTGTGTAAATTCATGGTTTTTGAAAGGACGACATCTGGCGACCGACACCAACAGCAAGCAGAGGAATCGCGAAGATGTTAGTGCACACAACCTCGTGCCAATACCGTGAGCTGTCAGCTGTGTAATATGAGGTAATGCATGTTCTTTGTACTTTTGTTCGTTTACTGTATTTATTTCCCGCGATTTGAACTATAAAGTGGTGATTTTCTTGAGTCAAAATGAGAGTACAGTGGTACCTCAGGTTACATACGCTTCAGGTTACAGACTCCGCTAACCCAGAAATAGTACCTCGGGTTAAGAACTTTGCTTCAGGAGGAGAACAGAAATTGGGCGGCTGCAGCAGGAGGTCCCATTAGCTAAAGTGGTCTTCAGGTTAAGAACAGTTTCAGGTTAAGTACGGACCTCCGGAATGAATTAAGTATGTAACCAGAGGTACCACTGTACCCCTAAACATTTCCTTTTTTTAGAAAAAAAGCACTGGTTATCCTGCATACTACAGCCACTCCTGGACACTTGGGAAGTAGCTCAGTGGCAGAACATCTCTGCTCTACCTGCAGAAGGTCTCGGCTTCGGTCCTTGGCATCTCTAGGCAGGGCTGGCTGGGAAGCTTCCCTTCTCTGATGCCCGGATGAGCCGCTGCCGGCCAGAGCTGGCAATATTAGCCTGGATGGTCTCCCGGGGAGTTCAAAGGGACTCGCCTCCTCGTAAATGTGCTCATGCCTGCATGAGTCACCACCACGGGAGGAGCACCAGCTCCTCCGCGCGGACGCCAGAGGAAGAGGAAGCCAGAGGAAGAGGAAGGCGCAGAGGCGGGTTGCCCTTGACGCTCGGCGGCGCCATTACCGACTCCAGCCCGCGCTCCCTCAGCCTCGCCCGCTGCCTCTGCCAGCCCCCGACCACCGGCGCCCAGGCCTCGGCTGGGTGGGAGGAGGAAGAGACGCGGGTGGGCATTCTTTCCCTCTCCGCGCGCTCTGATTGGACGGCGCGCGTGGCCTGAGAGGGACAAGCGAGGCTTGGGGTTGGCTGTGCCGCGCGCCCCCCTTTTGCCGCTGAGGGGAAGACGCCTGGATTGCAACTCCTTCGTCCCTCGGCTTTCCGGTGAGTGGCTTCGCTTCCCAAGCGCGCGAGGGGCGAGGAGAGATGCTGGGGCATCGCCTGAAGGGAGGCCGGGTGGGAGAGTCAACAGGGCGCCTCTTGTGCATGGTGCTCCGCGGCCATTGAAGTCCGCAGGAACTGAGGAATCCCTTCCCTGGGGCTATAAGCAAAGGTGGCGCGCCAAGACCTGGAGGGGAACGGAAAGTGGCCTGGAGCCTAGCGACTCGCGCAGGGACGCTCCGGCTCGTCGTGGAGGCGAGAGGAGCCTCCTGTGCGGTTCTGAAGGGCGCCCGTGTCCTGCACGAAGGGACGCCTGTTGCTGGACCCTTGCTCGGGTTGGGGGGATAGTTGCCAGCTGAAGCTTTCGGGACGGGGGGTTGGCAGGCCCTCCAAGTGTCCCTCTTGCCCAGGGACAGTCCCGGGTTGGCAGAAGCCGCCCCGTTTCTGATTGGATCCCAGAATGTCCGGCTTTCCCCTAGGAAGCCCCTGTTTTCACCGGAGAAAGGTCGAAGGGGATGCAATAGGAGGACATCCTGATGAAAATGTTGGAGGGGACGTCTCTCTTTTCATCGGAGAAATGCTGGAGGGTACGGGGTGGGGAATGGCGATATGGACCAGAAGGGAATTGGCAACAGCAAATAAGGCAACACCTAGAAAGAGGGAAAGTGGCAATGGCAGGCTGTCCCTTCACAGCATCCCCGCCCCCATTGGTGCTTCTGCCTTGCAGGGGGTGATCCTCAGGGTCCCTTCCAACTCTACAATTCTCCCACGCTGGTGGAGTGAACTAGCTTCTTTAACACTACAGGTCTTCCTCTTCTCCCCTCCCTGCCCTGCCCTCAAGTGTGTGTCTTTTTGTTCTTTATATGCTGCATAACGGGCTGAAATGAATCACAAATGAATTACTGGCATGGAGATGGATGTAACATAGTGGTTGTTTTACTTGGGGTGGTAGGAACTTAATTTTGCTGCTCCCATTTGGCTTCTCCCTCCTATGAAACCTTTCAGTCTGTTACTCGAGTTCCTTGGAACAAAGAATGGGTTGCACTTTAGGTTAGGACCCTTTAGCTCTTGCAGTTTAAAGTGGTGAGATGGTGCTTGAAAAAGATTAGCTTTCCCCCAATCTTCTAGCTGCATATTTTGGGTGTGAAATAGGGGCACAGGCCACTTGTTCATTCTAATCTGCAACCTGAAATCCGTTTAAATTTATGCCCAGTTTTCTCTTCTTTCTGTCTAGATGGCCAGCTAAAAAGGGACAGCAGTAGAATTCAAGAGTCTTGTGGCACTTCAGAAAGCTTCCACAGATTTATTGTGGCAGAAGCTTCTGCGGCAAGGGTAGCACATACGATGCTCTCCAGACGTCGTAACGACTACCACTCCCATCAGCCCCAGCCAGCATGGCCAGTGGCCCAGCATGATGGGAGTTGTAGTTCAGCAACTTCTGGGGGACACCATGTTGGCCACCCCCATTATGTGGACTAGAAGCCACTTCATCAGATGCAGCAGATCTTTTTCAAGTTTTGAGAGTTGTGCAGAAGTGGGGGTTTTCTCCGGTTTGCATAAGAGACACCTGCATCTGATGAAATTGCCTCTTCTGAACAACTCTGAAAAGTTTTGCTATACTGATAATTCCTTTTTTTAAAGGTCTAAACAAACACATAAGAAAATGGTGCACTCCTAAGAGCCCTGATCCATCAGCTGAAGACTGTAGTTCAGTGGTAGAGCACAAGCTTTGCATGTAAAAATCCTATATTCAGTCCTGGGCATCCGCAGGTAGGACCAGCGTGGGGAAAGCCCTGCCTGAAATGCTGGAGAGCCACTAGTCAGTATAGACTAGGGTTAGCCAATGTAGTGTCCTCCAGATAATGTAGGACTACAATTCCCATTTGCCCCAGCCAACATGACCAATGGTCAGGAATGATGGGAGTTGTTGTCCAACAACATCTGGAGGTCACCAAATTGGCTACCCCTGGTGTGTGCAGTAATAAGACCAATGATCTGGTTTCGTAAAAGGTAGATTGACAGGTTTCAATTATATATGGGATATATAACTTGGGAGAAAGGAAAGAAGCTCTAATTTTGTAATCAGAGAATACTTCATGGTCCCAACTCTGGGTGCTGTAGAAAACTGGGTAGAGCAACACACAGTACCTCTCTTCTCTGCAGTGTTAGAAACTGAAATATGAAATTTATGAGCTAAATGGCACCTTAAACATAGGTTATGGACGCTGCAATGGAGTGTCTAGGCACACTTTTTTACAACAAACCTGAAAATGAATGAACTGCAGCTAAAATCTTACGTTCATTTTTCACATGGTCTAGTTCTTCCCCTGCCCACCCCCCTTATATTCTTAAGAAGGCCCCTTCTCCTGGCTAAAGAGAGTGAATGGAATGGGGAGGCAGAAAAAGGTCCTTCTTTCCTTCCAGCAGTGGCAGAAAGAGCTTATTTTCCTTCCAGCAGTGCCCAGAGCTCAGAAACTGCTCACATTAATGAAATTCCCTGTTGCAAAATTCGCCTAGAGCAATGGGAGTTTCAAACACTGCTCCTCTGACTTTCCAGTGTAATCCCTGGAGCTGTGCAGAATGTAGTGGTGATCCTAGCTCATTTTAGTGACTCTGAATATGACGGCAGACATTAGCCAGTGCTGATGCTCACCTTCATGCCCAGAAATACTTCGCCTGCTGGTTTCTACAGATCACAGCAGTTGTTAAACTTTCACAGTTAAAAGGCACAAGGGCAGGCCAGACTGGTTATTCTCTGGTTAGCTGATAACTTTAGCATGTACAGGCAAGTGTACTCCCCAACCTTGTGATTGTTTCCTGTGTCGATTTGTCATGTTTTCGTTACTGGTTTTTAAACCATCTCCAGGTTCTTTTGGGATTTCTCTTTCAAAGTGGTTTCCTCTGTGAGCATTGCTAAGGTAGTTAGGGTTGTGGGAAAATACGTATTTTCCTACTTTTCAGGAGACTTCTGCTTGTTAGATGCTGTCTGTGAAAGGAGAAATAAATCTTTCGTGGCAATGTTAGCACCACTAGCAAGTAACACTTCTTCTTTAACTTCTTCTTTTAGAACAGTTGTGTGTTTCTTAATACCTGCTGCTTCCATGTTTCTGTTCTCTGAAAGAGAGATGAGCAACAACATGTTGTTGCAAGGAGTGCTCCTGTCCAGTGTTCTAGATAGCCATTCCAGCCTCCCTCCCCACCCCCTGCGCACTCAACAAATTGTTCCATTTTTCTCTGTAGGATCTCCCCCCCCCCCAATTTTTTTTTTGTACTTCTACAGACCTGGAATATTGCCATGTCTTTTGTGCCATTGGGTTAAATAAAGATCCACCCACTGATGGGAAAAGAAAATGGGAAGGAAGAGACAGAAATAGGAGAAGTTTTCCTTTTTCTGTGATACATTTAAAACAGTGTTGGTTGATCTTTTTGTAAACGGCTTTGAGGATTTTTGTTGTTTTTTTACACAATCAAGCGGTGTGTACATTTTATGCAAGAAATAAAATGAATCAATTATCAGTGGTGGCTAATGCCCCTTGGAACCAGTAGGGTGGAAGGCAGGGAGGTGAACAGCAGGTGGCCAATGACAGGCAGAGACAACTCTTACACCCCCCCCCCCGTACTCCTCTGTGCTGAGTTCTATAAGACTGAGACTGAAGAATAGGAGGCTGACAGCCAGTGTAACTCCCTGGACTGGCTGTAGGATGGGGATAGCTTGACCAGTGTAATCCATGCATCGGCAACATTTGTAAGCTTGAGGCTGGATTACTGAAACCTCTGTGTTGGGTGGTCCTTGGGTTTGGAACGTCTACAGGTAACTCCTCATTTGCTTCTTCAATGCCTTGAAAGCTGAAAGCCTTTCACAAGAGACAATTCAGCTCAAAAGCTTAAACTTTTTTAAAAAATCTGTGATAAAGAAGGTTACCTGATCTACTGGCCTTGCATGTGCATCTTTGATCAGAAGGTGAAGATTTCTTGGCATGGATGTAAAGTGAAGGGGGAAGTTCTCATATGCTTTACACTCTCTGTGCTGCTGCTGAAGGCAGGGTTAGAAAAAAAAAGGAAAGAAAAGTTTGCAGTTTAATGTGATTAATGTTAATATACCATTGACTCTCTGGGTGCCTTGACTTTTATGTTCTTTCCCCTTGGCCTTTTAGCTAAAACAGGCTTTGTTTAGCTGATCATAGAGCAGTTTCAGGAAAGCGTGATTGCAATGAACTTTATCTTCTCTCAGTCATGTGCTGTTAAAAAGCATGTGGGGAAACTGCAGAACAAGGACAGCCATAGTCACAGATCAAAGGCCAAACTCAATCATGTTTTGCATGTCATATGGGGGTGGGGCATGTCTCCCTGTCTTTTATCTGAAAGATAAGACTATCCCCTTGGACAGAGAATGAGAAATGCAACAATATTACTATTATTTTTAAATTCAGTATTTGCAACTTTTGAAATTCATCCCTCTCTTGTTGATGATTCAAATTATCAAGGAAATAACTTTTAAAATAATGAGTTTATATAATGCTCTTGTAGAAATGCCATATACATATACATATTCTGATATATGCCAGAAGAGGTTTGGCTATAGGTGATAATGGCTTCATATTCTGGCTTGTTTTGAAGTCATTATCTATAGTTTCCAGGCTTTCACATAATGGAAATCTCTTGTTAAATGCTGGGTCTTGGCATGCTTTGTTGCTTGTTTAGAGGGCACAGCAAAACAACAGGGAGATGGTCGTGCATGTGGGTGCACACACACTGGTTTATTACGTCAGGGTTTCTGGCACAGCATTATGTGTGGGCATGGCTGATATGAAAGGGAGCAAGGGATGATCTTTTGATTTAAGACAAAGTGTGTTAAGCTGACACAAGATTACTATCATGTGGTGGCCTCCACAGGTCACTGGAAATTTTCAGAAGCAGATCCGCCACACCAAATGATTGAATGGTGACTGCTCCTTTTTCTGGTTGCACATGTCAAGTTGATTCAGCCTTTTCAATAGCTGTTGCAATTCAAATGATCCATTTGGCATGCCAACCAAACAGGAATATTCAAAGTGTCCTTTTTCAAAATCCAAATACAGTTGACCAGTATTATCTTAAAAGAATAACAATCCATGTGAAACCACCTGATAAGATGAGATTTGGACAAGATATTTGTTAATTCATGACTTGTCCCTTAACCATTACACTGAGACAGCACACCACATGTAAAGTTTTGTTAAGCCAAGGCTGCAAACCTGGACCCGCTTCTTGTAAAGTAAATCACATGGAACTGCCTTCTGGGTATATGTGCATGGAATTATGCTGGATCTTGAGCAAGGCCAAAACCAATTATCTCTATTACAGAGGTGTTTTCCCTCTAGGAAAGCACTGTTCATTTGTAAAAACTGTTGGTCTTACTCTTCAAAAGCTGCTTTATGTACTGTTTCTTTCTGTGAAACGTGTGCGCACATCCTTGACTGTTCTCTTTGTGGATTTCACTGTAAAAGTATTAATTTAGGTTTGTGGAAAAGTAGTCTTACATATGTGTACTGAAAGATGAATTTGTTTTCATGCAGATCAAGGATGTGGCTCCTCATAGTCGCGGCGAGTTTGATCCAAGGACTTGCAACTTCAGAAAACTTTGTGAGAAGACGAAATGTTGACCCTGAAGCTACTATGAATATTGTAAGCCTTTTTTATCCTTCTGTGTTGTATCTATTATAGTTAAAGGCATCAGTGGCAATTGGTGCTACACTTGATATTCCTGAAGTTGCATTTTCACTGAAAGTTGGGATTACATGAAGCATGAAAATATTCACTTACTTTTATTATTTTTTAGGAACATAACCTTCCCTTCTGATACAATTACATTGCTCAGGGTGACTTACAGCCATCAAAGCAAAACAAACAAAAAACAAACAAACAAATACAATAATCCCATAAAAGATATAAAGTGGCAGCGACAGACTTGGCGGATAGCAGAACTATATGCCCACATTCCAAAATGTTTCTGTCCGGCAAGTCTTGCTCAACACTCTCGTGACCCACTAACACAGGGATGGTTGGACTTACTGTTGAAACATGCCTTCTATTTGCTACAGCAGCAAGCTTCTTTCAATTCTCTCTCCCTCCCCCTTCTCTCTCTCTCTCTCTCTCTCTTGTGCGGAGAGAGAGTGGAATCCTGCAAATTTAAGGGAAGGTCTCTGAGTGTGCATATGAGGGCACGACACTGAAAAACCTTGTGCTAAACTATTTGTTAGGTGTCAAACTTTCCCTTGATAATTATTCTTGGGAAAACTGGAGGCTGGCTCAATGAGTCTGTTGCTCAAGTACCTAATCGGATAGCTCTAGAAAGCCGAATTGCCTCAGGGATACTGTTCGGTTTTGCATTAAAGGAGGTCACCAAACAGACTGCTGATTTGGCCACAGCAATAACTTATTAGACTTCTTTGGAACTGACAAATAAACTGATCGTGTAGGACAGTCCTCCTCCCTTTTCTAACTTTGCACCTTTTTGCACACTCCAGGTACTGACTGTCTTCTGTGGAAGGCAATTGTCTAGGCCTTTTTACAGCCATTTGCTAATGTTCCCAACTGAATGCTGCCCATGCTTTCCTTTCCCTTCCAGAGTGAAATTATTTCCTTCAGAGGATATCCCAGCGAGGAATATGAAGTGGTGACAGATGATGGGTATATCCTGAGTATTAACAGAATCCCCCATGGGAAAATAAATCAATGGAACAAGGGTGAGTGTGTGTTTTGAGGTAATATATTGTGTGTACACGTAAATGTAAATGTCCCACACTATGCAGAGATATAGATGTAGATACAGAGAAAGAAATGAAGGCTTCTTGCTTTGGAGAAATTTGGCTAACATCAGGTTTCACCAGTGCGGAAATTGATAATTTGTTTGATAATGTAGGGTTCTTATAGATCTATCAATAACAGATTCTTTGTTCAGCGAAACTAACAGTTAAAAAGCAGTTATATATACATACACACCTTGCTATTGAGCTCACTCCTACAAAATGAATCTGTCCCCCCTCGCCCGCAACCCTTTTACCATCTAAGATTGGGGCATGAGGATAGAAGGGAAGGCTGTTAAGTATTATTATTTAGCTTTTTACTGTTTTTTTAATAAAAAAAAAAAAACAGTGTATTTTCAGAGTCTTTGTCATCTTCAGGGTTCTCCCCTCCCACAGTAGCATAATCTGGGCCACAGAGAATTTGCAAGACATTCAGATGAATATTACCACACTTGGAGTTCATCCAAAACATGGCACCATTCTGCCTCCACTGGGACCAGTTTTGCTTGTATGGCTTCATTACATATGCCGGAAGGGCATGGGAGAGCACAGCACTTTCTCTCTTCATGTGGGGAAGTGAAAATTCCCTGCTTCTTTTCCCGAAGGCATTAGATGCGGAAACATTGTACTCGACTGAGCAGGACTGAGCTAAAGCTACTCCACCCACCCACCCACCCACCCACCCTCAGAAGTTGGATATGAAAGGGTTTTGGTTCAAAGGAGCACAGGAAGCCTTGCTAAGTGAGTGAGGACATAGGCCAGGCACAAGCTCTTGCCCGTCTCCCACTCCCAGTTCTCATTCCTTGATTTGCCCATAGGGTGCTGGCAGGTCTCTTCCCAAGCAGTGCAAGATTGTTGGCTCTCTTCTCCATTCTTGGAGATGTAGGATAGATACTTTATGTTGATAATGACTGGGCAGCCTGCTATTCTTTTTATTATTATCCATTTTGCTTTCTTGGGTGTCTCTTGCTATCCAATGTAGCAAAATAACATGGTGGTCTCCTTTTTCCTATAAAAGTGATGGTTGCCAGCCAAGGTGTCCTCTTCCGCTTTTGTATTTTGTGGTCTCACCAGTTGCTCAGCAATGTGGGAGGAAGTGCACACAATTGCTCAACATGTTCTTGTTCTTTTTTTCTTTTAAGATTTCAATAAAATAGGCCATACTAATAGATGAAGTCAAGGATATTTTAATCCTTTTCTGAGCTATTAAAAGAAGCGGGGAAGTCTGGTGGCAGGCAGAAAGGGAAGCTAGAATAACTAGTTCATAGTCCATGTTGACATCAGCTGTTTTCAGTCCTGACGCAGCTGTGAGCTGCGCACCATCTTGACACAAGTGACAGGGAAGTGCATGTGATCTTTTTGGGGGTGGTGGGGGGCGGATCTCTTTAGTTGCAAAAGATTCTTTTTGCAGTTGTCACAGATGCACTTGCTTCAGCCATTCACAGAGATTCACTACTACCTCTTCTTTCAAAAAGGGTGGAGATGGTAGCACATCCACCTCAGTGTCCCAACGCCTTTGCCTCTCTTGTCTGCAGCTTTTTCCTTGAGTAAAAGGAGTTCGCTCCAAGGTATGGGGCTAGGACAATCTGAGGCTATTGCATTTGTGAAGCCCGAGTAAAGGATAGTCTAACAAGTGATGATTTTTGGTAGTCGAGGCACAGGTGGCATCGTGAAGAAAGGGCAGGTTGTCTGAGCCTCCTGCTTCCAGTACCAAGCTGCAGCTTCAATGTCTCATTTTCCGCCCCTCTTCCATTACAAGGTTTGATGGGGGGGGGGGCTGAACAAATAATTTGTTTAGCTTAATGGATACCCTAGTGATGTTCAACAACCACAAAAACTTTGTTCTACACAGTTGGTCTGTTCTAATCAAGAGGCAGCAAGTATCTAGGGAAAAGTAGCTCATTTCCCTCGGTTTCAGTTTATCTTGTGGCTGTTTGTGTCAAATACGCTGTCTTTGATAAGTTCAGTGATGGTTCTTGCAGTGTTAAAACTGTTAAGTGTGGCTGTGGATCTGTTTGTAATAAAGGTGCAGGTATAGAGAATTTTAGTACAAGGTATCAAAGTGATGGATGAAAAGGACGTTTTCCCAAAGGACATTTAAGTCTGGTGTTTTGATTTCTCATACCTCCAGATAAAATAAGAGCTGTATTGAATTGAGCAAAGGTTGGCTATTAAAAAAATGTGTTTGCTCTGCTTTCCACATTGCATTCAGAAGTGATTGGCTGGTATTCCACCAAGTTTTACTCAGAGTAGACCTGTTGTTGACTTACTCATGCTCATTAATTTCGGTGAGCAAAACTTGGTTGACTGTCCCCCCTATTCATTCCAGACTAAAAGACGCCACTTGTGGAATTGCTGGCTCTGCATTCTCTTTGCCCCATGTTTATAGCAGGCATGGAATGATTGCATGACTGGCGTTAAAAATTTTGATGGATCTCAGTCTTGTTGGAAGCAGACACTGAAGCAGTAACTTTGCTTAAAACATTTCACTTTCAGGTCCCAAGCCTTCAGTGTTTCTACAGCACGGCTTGCTTGCTGATGGCAGTAACTGGGTGACAAATCTGGACTACAACAGCCTTGGCTTTATGCTGGCTGATGCTGGCTATGATGTTTGGCTGGGAAACAGCAGAGGTAACACTTGGTCCAGAAAACACAAACACTATACAGCAGACCAAGAAGAATTCTGGATGTTCAGGTAGAGTGAAACTTACTTGCATGTTGCTGGTTCCTGGTTTTGCCCTTTAGACTCATGCTCTTCATATTGGTAGTTAAATAAACAATCAAACTTGCACATATTGCACATATGGGGAATTGTGTGCTTGGTTGAAGCCCACAATTGGGATAACCCCAGCGTCAAAGGATGAAAATGGTTGGCAATTCATTTTGGGGCCCAATTTGGTGTGCTCACATTAGTGTTTAAAGTTTTAAACGACTTAGGACCAAAATATCTATGGACACTAGCATCTGCAACAATGGCAGATGAACTACAACTTCCTGATTCCTACCTTTTCTTAATTTTTTTTAAAGAAAGAGTTAACTCTTTCTAGCATTTGTAAAATCTGTAGAATGTGGCAAATTGTACAGGTGCAATTATTCTTTTTTTAAAAAATGAGAAACTAGCCTGCTCCCATTTCAGTGTTTTGAACTCTGCTGAAAATTTATCCTGGTGCCTATTCCTACAAACCCTCTTGGGGAGAACGGAACCTTTTGGTAGTTCTGCCACCCTCAGAGCTTCATAAAATGACCACCTGGAAGAGGGCATTCTGTGTGACAGCCCCTAGGTTTTGGAGTTCTCTCCTCATAGAGGTGCACTTAATGTATCTTTTGTTATGTGCTGAAGAGTCATCTCTTTCCTCTGGCCCTTGACACCAGAGGTGTATAATTTAGGACCCACCCTCTTTTCTTTTATTGTAATGTCTTTTAACTGTTCTTAATACTGCATTTTAAAATTGTTGCAGCCCACTCTGATACCTCAGGGTGAAGTGCAGGTAAGACATTCAATATATAATGATGGTGGTGAAAAGCATCCTTAGTGGTGTTAATAGACTTTGGGTGGAATTAGATTTGATGTGGGAGAACATCCTCAGGCATGGGCACGAGAGGAAGCAGAGCCCTCTGCTGCCCACTGCATTAATTCTGTTCCTCCCAAATTGACATTTTAAAAAGTTGTTTCTCACATTGTTTCCAGTATTCATCACACTGGGAGAAACATGGCTTTTTCATCTCCCTTTTCCAGCAGGATTTGTCTTCCTCTTCCAGTCTGTCGGTGTTGCATTTGTAAACCGCCCTGATGATTTATAAGAACTATGGTGGAAGTTTGGTTTGCCTTGTTTGGTTTTCCAGGTGCTGCTATCTGACATCTAGAGACAGCTTGCCTGTCAAAACTGTCACATTTTGGTAGCCACGTGGTTGCTGTGAACTAGGTAGTGGCCTTTCTTCATGTGCAGTGAATTGCTCATAATGTGGCATTGACCATTTCTGAACAGCGCTGGTGGAGATATCTAAGGAGGACGAATAATGGCTTGATTAAAAAAAAAAGACTCTGCTTCACAAACGTTCAGAGAATTGGGGACTTGATGGGTCTGTGGTGAACTTTGATCTACCAAATCCAAGCCTGTTTCTTCGACTGCATTGTGCTGAGAACATTGCGTTTGAGACTAACAAAATGTGAGTCCCACTGCATATGCAAGTCTGTTAAACATAGGCTGTTTTTTTCCTTTCCTTTGCAGTTTTGATGAAATGGCTAGATATGACATTCCCGCTTCAATAGATTTTATCCTGAACAAAACCGGACAGGAGCAAATATTTTATGTTGGCCATTCCCAAGGCACCACAATGGGTAGGTTTTCAGGTTTCTTAAATGCACATTGACAATTCTAATAGCTACAGCTATTTCTTTGTACAGCTGCTATTCCAAATTACTTTTAGGAGGAAGCTTGTTCATAGTACCGCGACTACACATGGTGTCACTGGACACACATTGGAAATAAAAACAACCATTACTCAATTGTAACAGGAAGCTGCAGTCCAACAAACCCAGGGAGTATTGCATTAAGGCCCATGAGAGAAGGCAAGAAGGGAGTGTGTGGGCTGAACACTCATTCTCAGTCAGAAAAGTCACAGGGCAATAGTAGTAGTAAAAGGAGATTTACTCCTTCCCCTGTACCATCTGCTTTAAATTTGATCTGGAGAGTTGGGTGAACCCAATGACAGTTTCAGGGGGCACACAAGGAGAGAACATTCTGTTGCACAAGGAAAAGTCCTTGCTGTAATGGAATATTTGCCTCAGTGCTATGTTGAATAGAACCTGCAGTTGAATAACCAACACAGTCATATCTTAACCTCACCACTGACTGTCACTTCATGTTTTGTTGATTCTTAAGTTTATTGATCAAGTGAATTTACAGTTACTACACTGTTGAGGATATATATGCAACCGTAAACGTTTTAAGTTGGTCAAAAGCAAGAAAGGGTGTGGGAAAATGATTGCTTGTACATGAGAGCATGAGCAAAGTTCTTATTACTGCAGGGTGATTTCATAGCTAGAAGCATCCTTGGAGCATGAACAGCGCGTGAATAGCTCGTGCTGTCCCAAATGATTGGTCAACTAGCATAGCCTGATCGCTCGCGTGGTCTAGTGCGATGGTCCTTATCTGCTGGCTGAGAACAAGTTGCTTTGCTTGTATTTTGTATCTTTCTGACTTCACACAATAAAGGCTGTGCTGCAGTAGCTCTAAGGCGGCCAGAGCAGCCAAGGAGCCAGAGCAGCCATATTTCTTCAACCTATCTTGGTGTGAGACTGATTTCTTCAGATGTCGAGCTGGCACTCGACATTTGGTGCCCCGTGTGACTACCTTCGGACTTCACGTTGTTTCTCATCGTTCAGCGCTCACCACGCGTCTTTCATCCGCTTCGGATCCCGGTGAGTGCTCCCTTTCCTTCTGGCATTGTGGGGCAGTCTCTTTCGGACCGCGTGTGTGTGATTTATCTCGGACTTCATGCTGTTTTACAACGTTCAGCCTCACCTCGCCCGGCAAGGGCTGCAGACGCGTCGTTCATCCACCTAGTGGATCCCTGGTGAGTGCTCCCTTTCTTTTGCCATGTGATTCTGGACTACGTTATGGACTTATCAGCACTTACATCGCCCGGAAAGGGTTAAAGGCGCCTACTCATCCCATGTGGATCCCTCGGTAAGTGCTCCCTGCTCTTTTTGCTACTCTTGCAATCATGGGGACGTCTCTATCAGCACCACAGAAAAAGTTTTCTGAAGACCTTAAATCTCTTTTGGCCAGCAACAGCCTTCTCGTCTCAGATGCTGACCTTCAGTCTCAACAGCAAAGTTTGCCTCCAGCCAATCTCCTTTTGGCTGCTGCATCTGTTCCTTTGCCTGCCGACTTTCCATTGCTATATCCAGCATTGCCGCCTTCTGCTGTATATGCCCCACCAAAGGCTCCTGTCCTCCCTTCCCTGCATTCTCCGCATTCTTCGCTTCCTGCACCTCCCGTTACTACTCCTCTCCAAGAATCTTCGCATTCAGCACCCCCCGCTCTTCCACCTCCTCCACCCAAGGCATCTGGCACCGCTCCTACCATTCCTCTTCAAAAATCTCTCCGTGCTGCCGCTCCGTTGTTGCCTTTTGATGCTGATACTCCAAATCACTTTCCTGTGATTGCTCCTGCACCCCCAGCCCCCGTCATGCTGACCCAAACTGATGTTCTCGATGGGCTGACGGGAGGAGGCAATTTTCTTCCTATTGCCCAACAGTTGGCCTTTGATCCTATGTATTGGGCAGCCACCACAGCCTCAGCCCAAGAGGCTTTGGCCTCTGTCCCTGATGACAAAACTGAGCGCGATGGCCGATGGGGGAGCGTTAGACAAGGCCCTGCAAAGCCCTATGGACAATTTGTTGATCGCTTGTATAATACCCTCAAGCGGCAAGTTCAGGACCTGGCAGCACAAGAACTGACTGTACGCCAGCTTGCGTTTGATCATGCACATGAGGACTGTAAGCAAGCGCTGCACCTTCTAATGGCAACATCAAATATAGCCATTGCTGATATGCTTAAAGCCTGCCAGTCAGTGGGCACTGTGACGCATAAAGTTTGCCTGTTAGCCACGGCCTTATCCTCCGCCGTGTCCCAAAATCCTGCAAAGGATAAAACCTGTTGGATTGACAGTGGCTAAGGAGAAAATCCAGCGGACCTTACCTATTACGTGCCTGGGACACAAGCTGACAGCATCTGCAGCCATTCCAGTCACGCCTCAACTACAGTTTCCTGGTTATCTTAAACTGGTGGATTTACAACAAATTCTTGGACGGCTGAATTGGATAAAGAGTTATTTGGACCTGCCCACCTCCACTCTGTCTCCACTATTTTCTGCCCTTAAGGGACACAAGAATCCAGCGGACAAGATCACAATCACCTCTGCAATGGAAGAGGCTCTTCCACAGCTGTTCCAGTGTTTCCTGGCACGCTGAAAGGCCATCTTCATCCCTACTGCATTGGCCCCCCCTTTTCCCTGGGAAGCCACTTCAACCACCAAACATCATTACAGTTTTGCTGCCTCCTAATAGCAACCATCCCATCTGTGTCATCACGCTTCCTTGGGCTTGGACTTTTGACTAAGCAGTACAAGGAGCAATACATCAGGCTTATTTACAGCAAATGGGCTCCTGTATCTGCAGAAATGGTTGTGTGACTTCTTCTGGATTGTGGTTTTTACATGCCAATAATCGAGCCACGAAATATCACACAGGTTGCTCGGAAGTGGCCATTGGACTAATTTACCATTCTCATCCTTATTGGCATCACTTGGATTTTACCCCCCAGATATTTTTTTCTCCTCCCTCAGGAGTCCTGCCCTATGATGTGTTCCCCTGAGCATGTACAGAGGGCTGTCTTGGAACTATTGTGGACTCTTGGCAAGGGAGGGGGTGAGGGATTTCAGTGTGTTCCAGTTGTTTCATTCTTGTGCTTTGGCATGGTTCCCGGACAGAAAGCAAGTTGCAATGTGGTTCTTTAGCAAGGCCCGCAAAGACAATGGGCTCTGTTCTCGACCTTGTTGCAATACTTTTAGTTACAGCAAGCGGAATATGCTTCGCTAGTGCCTTTAAGCTGCTGAGAAAAATGATTTTAAAAAGCTTCTCAAAGCTTTGAACCTTTCTTTTGGTGGTGGTATTCTAGCATTCCAGTAAATGCTTCATATAAGATTAGCAATAATATGAAGGACAATTGTACAAGTTTACCTCCTGTGTTTTTTTTTATCGCTTGCAGAAATAGTGTCTTATTGTTTTCGTTTCAATCATAATAGAAGTATATTTTAGGTCATTATCCATATTGTAATTGGACCTATGAGTATTTTGATGGATCTTCTTGTTTTAATTTTTTTTAATTACCACTATGAGTGATAGGCCGAAAGTCTCAGTTAATAATGTCACAACCTACATGACCTATGAACAACAGGCTGCGTGTAGAGATTTTTATGTTTGGTTCAACTGGATGAGAAAGAGCAGTAAATCTACATATTTGCTTCAATCTGATTTATGGTTATTCTGTGGCAAATTCGACCGAAGCCTTGTTTAATTCTACTATCTTGGCTTTAAAAATGATTAACACAGAAATGTCAGAAATAAGAGAAGTTGTTTTATAAACTTTTTATGCTTTAAATGTAATCTTTGCCTCTAAAGGTGGAATTTATGCCTTAATTCATTCTCATTGTTGTATGTATGTAACTGATCAATCAACCAATATTTCTGCTATTATTGATTATATGGAACAAATGATAACCCATAATCCTTTGAATCCACCTGAAGGTTTTGATCCATGGGATTGGTTATTTTCTTGGTTACCTAATGGAGTATGGTTAAGAAAAATATTATTGATTGTAATTGCATGTATTGATGGTTTTATTATTCAATGCTTGCTTGCCTTTTGATTTCCCAATGCACTGCATGGTGGTATCGACCAAGGCCCACCACAGGGATTTACAAGGGGAATTTATGTTGCAAAATATAAATGCTTAGGTAATGGGAATATGATTTTGATTAAGATTTCCTCTAATAATATAAACAAGAAAAGAGGGCATGTGGGAAAATGATTGCTTGTACATGAGAGCATGAGCAAAGTTCTTATTACTGCAGGGTGATTTCATAGCTAGAAGCATCCTTGGAGCATGAACAGCGCGTGAATAGCTCGTGCTGTCCCAAATGATTGGTCAACTAGCATAGCCTGATCGCTCGCGTGGTCTAGTGCGATGGTCCTTATCTGCTGGCTGAGAACAAGTTGCTTTGCTTGTATTTTGTATCTTTCTGACTTCACACAATAAAGGCTGTGCTGCAGTAGCTCTAAGGCGGCCAGAGCAGCCAAGGAGCCAGAGCAGCCATATTTCTTCAACCTATCTTGGTGTGAGACTGATTTCTTCAGATGTCGAGCTGGCACTCGACAAAAGGGTATTTTCTGTTTCAATGTTCAGGTTAAAAAACTCCATCCATAGATCCATAGAGGGGTGTGCTTGAGTCCCTCCGTTTTAACCTTCATGTGTGCTGCTAAGGCTTTTCTATTTTGCCAGGTTTTCACTCTGATTTCATGTATCTTTCCCCCCCACTTTTAAATTTTGCCAATGCTGGTTGTATTAGAGTTGTTTGCCGCGATAGTAATTTCATAAGCCACTTTGAGTTTATTTATAAATAAAAGAAGGGTTCAGATTTCTTAATGCAAACAACTTCCTTTTGACTTGAAGGTTCTGATTGTAAATGGTTCCACACAGGCCATAAAATACTTCATTGCTTTTGTGTTATGAGAGATCTGAGCTTAAAATTTTGATCTTGGGATTTGTTTGAGAATGCCCAGCTAGCTGTATTCATTTCTCTTCTCTTCTTTTCCATCCCACTACCCAGCGTTCATTGCATTTTCAACCATGCCACAGCTAGCAAAGAAGGTAAAGATGTTCTTTGGACTGGCGCCGGTAGCCACCATAAAGTTTTCAACCAGCCCACTAGCCAAGATTGGAGTGTTTCCTGAACTAATGTTCAAGGTATGTAAAAAGGTAAAGGTAAAGGGACCCCTGACCATTAGGTCCAGTCACGGATGACTCTGGGGTTGCGGTGCTCATCTCGCTTTACTGGCCAAGGGAGCTGGCATACAGTTCTGGGTCATGTGGCCAGCATGACTAAGCCACTTCTGGTGAACCAGAGCAGCGTACGGAAACACCATTTACCTTTCCGCTGGAGCAGTACCTATTTATCTACTTGCACTTTGATGTGCTTTCGAACTGCTAGGTTGGCAGGAGCAGGGACCGAGCAACGGGAGCTCACCCCGTCGCAGGGATTTGAACCGCTGACCTTCTGATCGGCAAGCCCTAGGCTCAGTGGTTTCGACCACAGCGCCACCCACATCCAAAGTATTTTGGACCAAATACTTGCTTGAACCACAGTCCGCAATTGTTGCTGGATGTAAGTAAGTACTTGGGAGTGTGCTTTTTTGTTGGCTCTGTACATACTTGAAGAAAAGAAGGAACATACCATTTAACAAAAGCCTGAATGAGTGGCTCGTTTCAAAAGTAAACACATCAGTTGACCCGAGACTGCTTGTAACGCTCTTCAGAACCTAAGCTGCTCAAGCTAGTTGATGCTGCCACTTGGCATCAGGCTGTTGCTGTAGCTACTTTATACTGTTTCCTTCAGTGGGCGGTAATGGCAATGTCTGTGTTGAGAATATAGTGCAGAATCCTTTTGCCTTTGCGTGTGGGATTTGAATGGGTTTTCTATCCTAAGTGACTGAGTAGAAGATTCTCATAATAGTTTTTGTCATGCTATGTTGTTACTTGATATGATTGGAAGTATCCGCAGGAAAACAGACGATTGACTTAACCTAGTGACCTATATACTAATGTTTTTTGTTTTGGCAGGCAATGTTTGGGAATAAGCAGTTTCTCCCTCAGAACAAAGTTATGAGCTGGCTTGCTACTCACTTATGCGACCATTTCGTATTTGATTATCTTTGTGGCAATGTTTTCTTCCTACTATGTGGGTTTAATGAGAAAAACTTAAATATGGTAAGTTTTCTGACTACCTAATAAAAGGTACAGACAATGATCTAAATAATTTGGATGTGTGTGAACTTTTCTAAAATTATTACAGCTTATGCCATCCATATCTTACTTTATCTTGGATAAAATTTGCTTGAATCTTACAAGTTTCTGCACATGTTGCTTTGGCATATTGGAAAACACATGATTGCTTGGGTATAACTCAAAGTTCCATATGTTTCTCTTTCTGTTATGGGATTGTATATTGTAATTTTATGTTGTGAACTGCTTTGAGATCTGCAGATGAAGGGCGGTATACAAATAAAAAAAATAAAAAACAGTGACCCTGGCATAGAACTAAGTTGTGACTGCCCACTTTGTAAAAATGGAAAGGGGAAAAAAATGTTGGTGTGGATTATTAGGTGATCTTCTGGATGTAGTTATTATTATTTCCTTTCTTTTCTACCAGATTTCTTCTTTTCCTAGGGTTACAATGATAAACAATGTGAACAAAATACACTCATGTAGTCATACGATTATGTTGATATTTTTTTTATGCATTTGTACAAGCTGGAGCATAACACAATTGTTATGTTCCAGCTTGTACAAATGCACATAAAAATATGCATTGATCTGTGGCACACTACAGCATTAGAATTACAATGTGAATCATGATGTGAAGTGAATGTTTGTAGTTGTTATGCCACACCCTGAATACCAATCAGGGCTGGTGCACAGGGAACTATTTAAGAATGTATTGTAGATCGCAAGCAGGCTGTGGCATTAGGCACTCTTTCCTTGCCACCTTGACTCAGTATGAACATAGTCAAGAGTGCTCCTGAATTCTATTTTAGCTTTTCCCAATTAGAATCCTAGAATGCCCCTTAACCATGATTGGTAGCGATTGGATACAATGTGAAACAAGGGTAGGATTAGTTCATGTGCTAGAGAGGTGAGAGTATGCAATCCCATGACACACCCACAGTTGTTTATTGTCATATCTGCATTGGCCCTGGGGAAGTTGTGCTGGATCATTGGATGAATTATCAGGGCTTTAACATACCTGGGAAGCAAAGCCTTGCTGAACACAGTAAAACTTAATTCTCGCAACACACTCATAGGACTGCACTGAAATAATTTTGCTACGTAATATGTAAAATGCATTCATGTTGTGGGACATTGGTTAAAACTAATGTAGTGGGATATTCAGTTAAAACTGAAATACCTTGCCCTAAGGTAATGTCACTGGTAACATAATACAGTGGTACCTTGGGTTGTACCTCAGTTTTCGAACAGCTTAGTTCTTGAACTACAGTGGTACCTCGGGTTACATACGCTTCAGGTTACAGACTCCGCTAACCCAGAAATAGTGCTTCAGGTTAAGAACTTTGCTTCAGGATAAGAACAAAAATCGGGCTCTGGCGGCACGGCGGCAGCAGGAGGCCCCATTAGCTAAAGTGGTGCTTCAGGTTAAGAACGGACTTCCGGAATGAATTAAGTACTTAACCCGAGGTACCACTGTATTGAGATTTGCAGCTTGTTTAGAGTGCCAAGTTGATCTCTGTAAAGAGCTGTAGGTAGTTACTATTTTGCTGCAAATAAACACAGAAATGCATGATCTCTGATGCAGTACTTTTGTTCAAATAAACCAAATGGAACAAAAGAAATTAAGTGGCTGTGCCATTTTGTGATGGTTTCACTCGATAATGTTGCTGTTTGTTACAGACTCGAGTAGATGTATATTCAACGCACTGTCCAGCTGGGACATCTGTTCAGAACATGCTGCACTGGGCTCAGGTAGAACCTATACCCTTAATTCTGTTTAAAGAAGCTTCCTGCATATAAAAATAATAAATAAATAAATAAATAATATGTGAAGGTATATGCAAACATTACAAATGCAGCATGCCTCTTTTTTTAGGCTGTGAAGTCCGGGCAGCTCAAAGCCTTTGACTGGGGTAGCAAGAAAGCAAACATGGCTCACTACAACCAGGTAAGAATTTCTCACTCATTTGTGCGCGCGCATGTTGCTTACATAATAGAAACCTGCAATGCAATGGACTCCTAACTCCCATCAGCCCTAGCCAGTACAGTCGTACCTTGGATCCCGAACACTCTGGAACTCGGACATTTTGGCTCCCGATTGCTGCAAATCCGGAAGTGATTGTTCCGGTTTGTGAACGTTCTTTTGGAACCTGAACGTCCGACGGGGCTTCTGTGGCTTCTGATTGTCTGCAGAAGCCGCAGTTTGGTTTTCCAATGTTTTGGAAGTCGAATGGACTTCCGGAATGGATTTCATTCAACTTCCAATGTACGACCAGTGATATTGATAGGACAGGGCTGTCCAACAGGTCTATCTACCGGTCGATCGTGGGCTGTCCCTGGTCGATCCTAGTCGATCCAGCGATCTCCAGCGATAGCCCCCCCCAAAAAAGCTCAACAACTCTGATCCCTCTCCCTAAAAAAGTCTCAACAACTTTGACTTATCCCTTCCCAAAAAAGCTCCACAACTTTGCTCATCCTCTCCAATGGGTAGATCACTGCCAGTTTATTTATAGTGGGAGTAGATCACAGTCTCTTGGAAGTTGGACACCCTGTGATAGGAGATGTAGTCCAGCAATATCTAGTAGGCCACAGGTTCCCTATTCCTAATGTAGACTGTGTATACATATGCTGTTTTTTTATCCATAAATCTTTGTTGTATTCTGAACTACAAACTTGCCGTTTTTTAAAACAAACAAGCTAACTAACTAACTAACTGTTTTCCTACCCCATCCCTTTTAGTCAACACCACCTTTCTACAAAGTAAAGGAGATGACTGTTCCAACAGCTCTCTGGACTGGAGGTCATGACTGGCTTGCTGACCCAAAGGACATTGCCCTATTGATGACTCAGGTCCCGAACTTAGTTTACCACAAGAATATCCCTGAATGGGAACATCTGGATTTCATCTGGGGCCTCGATGCCCCACAGCGCATGTACAAAGATATAATTCAACTGATGCAGAAATATCAATAAGGCCACATCATCCTAGGAGCTGTGATTCTGAAACATTTCTTCAAGAAACTAGCATGATCACGCTGCTTTTTTTTTTGTTTAATCATGGAAAGAAATCCTTCCTTCTTTAAATACGTATTCTCTTATAAACCCGTCTACATGCAGTTTAGTAGTACCTCAGGAAATTTACATTTTTGCACTGCTCATAAGTGTTCTCATGCATCTTGAATGGAGATGTTGAGACACAACTTAAGTGTTCTTCTCGTTGTGGTAGTCTTGAGGAAAGGAAAAGCCTTGTTGCTAATCTTGTCTATTGATAAGTATCTGAAAGTAAATCTTATCTGCCCAAACTTGTTATGGAGAGCAGGGTGGAGAAATGTTCTGGCTAAAGCCTTGCAAACATCAGGAAGCTTTATAAAATAAGATCTTTGCTCATCCCACTTCTCATAGCAGAGTTAGGAAGATGAGCTGTACTTTTGATCAGAGAGCATGGGTGCGTGTTGTAGGCCTATTTCCAAGTGTGTCTGATAATGCCAGTGGGAAGCTTCCATCATTTGCTGATCTTGGCTGACTCTGCACATTACAAGAAGAAAACAACACACTGCAGTGGTTAAGTGTTCCCAGCATGGGATTCCTCTAGGGCTCTTTTTTTGAGTGTTGGACCTTATAGTCCACCTTATTCTGAAGTGCATTCCCTGGATTGCTCTGGAACTACTCAGGGACAAATGCTTTATAGCTGTGCCCTTGTGATCAAAGCACAAACTGTGTTCTAAAGCTGGTACTTCTTTGAAGATAAACTGGCATGTGTTCAGGAATTAAAATGCATGCCTTAAAATGTGTGACACTGTGTCGCATTGGGAGAACAATGCATGTGACTCTTTCAAAGAGGAGCTGCATCTAGGGCTTGCTTCTGTAGCCATGGAAATATACGAAAGTATTAGCCTTCCAGTGTTCATGTTTAAAATATGTGCGTGCTGTTCCAAGGCAGCGACCCTGTGTTTTGAAAGCAGGAAGGTACATAGCACTTATTTAAAGGCTGCCAGGTTGAGCCTAAATGCATTTTATTAGGGTTTTGAAAGAAAAAGAAACTTTCTCCAACAAGTCCTTTTTTACTGGAATACAAGCTCTGAGCATGTATTATAATGCTGTCCCCAGTGGAACATTGCTCAGTGGTGGAGCACATCCTTTACACCCCATGTTTAACCCGTCATTTCTGGGTAGACCTTGGAAAGACCCCTTTCTGAAACCCTGGAGAGCTGCTGCCAACTGGTGTAGGTAATATGGAGTTAGATGGGCTAAATGTTCAGACTAAGGCTGCATCCAGATGTCACTTAGTTATGTCTTCCTAGCATTTGCCTACCTGTGCACTTTTGTGTTTTATGTGATCTTTCACGCAATGCAACAGCCACCTCTGGAAATCTAGTGGATGTTTAGCACTCATGCCCAATGCTAATTCTCTCCAGGAAATAATAATAATAATAATTTGCAATTGTCTTAATTTGGAAAAGCGCTGGAGTTTTGTATTGACAAAATTTGGGGCGGTATCCCAGCATATAGTTCTTTAACCACCATTTAAATTAGCACAACATGGCAGCATATTGATCAAAAAGCCCAAGTTCTAAAATGCAACAGGTGCTACAGTATAAAAGGAATCTTAGTGATCGGGACAGAAGCACTTAGCATTATAACCAGTAAAACTAATACAATAAACCCCACGTCTGAATGCATCCTGAGAGCAAGGTAGCTTCCTATGGCTGATGTTTCACAGGCCAAGCCTCAGTGAAACGTCCAATACTACCTACCTCCTTGATATTTCAGACCCTATGGAGCTTTTTTCTATATCAAAGAAGTGTTGTGAAAATATATGTTCAAACTGAGAGATGAATTCAGAATTGAGATGGCATGAAATATTTTTATTAACTAAATTCAGAACTAGCTTATATGGAAAATGACTCTTTTTGCAACTTCACAGATCCATAAAGAATGATTAAAAGGAATGGTTTGGATTTTATAAAGCAAAGTTCAGTTTACAACTTGGAGACGTGTTTTTTCCTGCAGAGATGAAATGAACGGCAGTGCATAGACTGACTACCAAAGATGCTCAATTATGTTGTTTCTATGCTCTGATTCTTTATGCTCTGATTCTTTTATTTTTTCTAACATTTGCACTGAACTGTAATTAACAGATGGAAATGGGGATCTGACAAGTTAACATTATTCATAATGGTTTAATAATTTTTTAAAAAAATAAAAATACTTTTTACTTTGGGTTGTTTTGTGAAATCAGCAAATATCAGTTCTACATTTTATGTGCAATATTACGACATTCTAACCACTTCCCCTAAATATGAAAACGGATACTTGTAGTTATGCCCGCTTTTTTACCTTACTATTATATGCCATTTTCTGTTTTGGGTGCAAATTAATATTTTAATAACAAAAACAAGGAAGCATAGTTGCAAATATTAAACTTTGTTGAAGAAATCACTCTGGGAAACCCATGCACTGTGTCTCATGTTTGTCTAAGCTTTTTTGGGAGGAAATGACAGCATTGAATAAAAATATAACTGAAACTAAAAGTGGTCTCTGTGTGTTGTTCCCACAGATGCAAGTATTATACTCTGGAAAGATCTTTCTAATGAAGGCTTTTAATCACAAAAATTGTACATATGAAGGACCCCTGTCTTATCCAAACAAGATTGGATAGTGGAAGGAAATTACTTGTGTTACAGAAAGCAGAGATCCCTGGTGGAATTTCAATGAGCTTAATTTAAAATAGTTGACTGGAAAGTCCGTAAGAATGCTCAATCATGGCAGAAATGCCTGAAAATTCAGAACAAGGATTTTGGATAACAGAATACCCTTATAGGTAGTACTGTGCTTCCAGAGTCTGCTTCCTGTTGTCTGTCTGAAACAATAGACCCCTACTCTCTCCCATCCCCACAAACCAATGCATAATATTTACCTCATAATTCTAGTTTATCAGTGACCGTTCAATGGTATTGCTGCTTCGCATTGTAGAGGCACTGCTCTGCCACAATAGACACACAAGTGTACACACAACACTTAAAATAATGCTATATGGCGTTAACAGGTGTTCCTATCTGAGGCCACAAACCTGTTATACTCACAGGCCTTCCCTTAGCCACCCAAGCAGTGATCCAATAGAAGGAGTGGTACCAGCAGACAAAGGGTGGCAGGCAGGTGAATTTGAAAAAAGGGAGGAAGTACCCCAGAAGTAGCTTTCATTGTGATTGAATATGCAAAGCCTGAAGTTCAGAAAATCCTAGATGGGAATTCTTAATGCTGTCCTTTCTGCTTTAATTTGGAAGCATTTCTGGAGCAAGCTACAATTTAAAGCAAGTTGATGCTGTTTTCTGCCACAAGATGGTGCATGGTCACTTACCAGTGATATTTTGTAACTGGTCCGTAACATTTTTAGCTGGGAGACACTGCTTTTGTAACATGTATCAAAAAAGAGAGACGCTGCCCCAACCTTTCCCTTGTTTGAAAGCAAGAATACAAATATCTAGCCAGTTTCGCAACATTGCTTGTTGGGGGGTGAGGGGATTAAATCTGTATGTTTAGGGAGAAGACCAATGCGTTGTGGGTTCCTGTGTGGGTTCCACTGCACAATTCTATGGTTCCATACGTGCAGAACTGGTATTATGGGGTACCTGTAAAATGCAACAGGGCTGGTTCAATAGATCAAACTGTTGGAGTGGGCATATACAGTATGGGGAAAGGCAATCCTGGAAGTAAACGGCTCCCTAGCTGTGACGGGCTTTATACAGTATACAGTACTAATAGTGATACCTTGAGCTTGGCCTCGTAGCAAATGGGGAAGTAGCGCTGATCTTCCGCCGCAGGTGTTCTATGCTGACAGGATCTCATTCATGAAAGCAGCACGTTGTAATACACAATCCAATGCAAATTTAGCGGAGAATAAGGGTCATCGAAAGCCACGGGACTTACAGTGGTACCTCTGGTTACGTACTTAATTCGTTCCGGAGGTCCGTTCTTAACCTGAAACTGTTCTTAACCTGAAGCACCACTTTAGCTAATGGGGCCTCCTGCTGCTGCCGCGCCGCCGGAGCACTATTTCTGTTCTCATCCTGAAGCAAAGTTCTTAACCCGAGGTACTATTTCTGGGTTAGCGAAGTCTGTAACCTGAAGCGTATGTAACCCGAGGTACCACTGTACTTCCAAGTCAGCGTGCAAGGGATTGCAGGACCGGCGGACCTGGCGGTGGGGGTGGTTGCTGGAGCCTCGTCTGTCCTTTCACCCCCGCACCCACCGCGCACCCCTTCCTATGCCACTGGTAGCTAGGCGAGGCGGGGGGCACTGGGCGCCACACAATCGGCGCCTGCAGCGTGCCTGAGCCATGCGTCTGCGGGCGAACTGCCCGCAAGCTCCGCGCTGGCCTCTGCCCACCGCCTCAGCCTCCCTACAGCTGAGGGGGAGGCTGCAGCGAGGCTCCACGGAGCGCGCCCTGCCATGGCTCGCCCCCATGGCACTCGCCCCTGGCTGCAGGACGCGCGCGCCGCCCCGGGACCCCGAGCGACTAGCTACGCCGCTGCGCGGAGGTGCTCGTGAGATGCCGTCTCCCCGGGGCGCATGGAAAAGCCACCCGCCCCCTGAAGGAGCCCGAGTGGCAGCGCCGCCTCTCCCTGCCTGCGTCGCGAGCAGCTTCCCTTTTCCCTGGGGCAGCTTGGGTCTTCATGGAGCTGCAGCCGCCAAGCGGAAATGCGCTCCGACGGGGCGTTTCAGTCTGGTGCTGCCGACGCGAGCAGCGGGAATGAAGTGGCTTCTCTCTCTCTCTCTCCTCCGGAGCGGAGGAGCCGAGCGGGAGGAGCTTCTCGGGCAGGAGGGCTGGGAGGGAGCGTTGCCTGCTAAGGAGGCGAGAAACCGAGGGGAGAGAGCGAGCTAGCTTCTGAGGGCTCCTGCGGCAATTTCGGTTTCATGGGCTTGGATTTGCTGCCAGAGTACTGTCAAGGCCGGAGGCAAATAACGGGGTCGGGGGTGGGTGGGGAGGAAGGAAGGGGGGCGTGGGGTTTCCCAAATCTCCCACTGCAATCCTAACCATGTTTACTCCGATGACTGCCGGGCAGGTGGGGTGAAGTCACCTTGCAGTTGTGACCATCCTCAGTCAGAAGCCACCCCCATTCAGTTTGTAATGTGGCCTGCAATTGCAGCCTTGTAGAAATGATAATCTCACCACTTTAAGGGGAAACTTTATTTTATAGCAACCATTATGCTTTTATGTGTTGGAAGCCACTCGGAGTTGCTGGGGCAACCCAGCCAGATGGGTGGGGGTATAAATAATAAAATTATTTGATTGGAGGACAGTTACTAGACAATAAAATTATTTGATTGGAGGACAGTTACTAGACAATTATTTGACTGGAGGACAGTTTGACTTTTTAATGTAAATGGCACAATCCTTCACACATCTACTCCGAAGTGAGTCCCTCTGTGTCTTAATGGGGCTTATTCCTGAATAACTGAGCATAGAATCACAGCCTTGAACAACTGAATTCATTCTCCCCCTCCCTTTTATTGATGCATCAATAAATAATATAGCATTTAAAATAGGTCTGTTAAAACTTCAGTGTGTCATCATGGGACTCTTCTGCTATTTTCCAGAATCGCGTTACCAACAGATTACATAAATGCTGCTTAAAACAGGTTCTAAACCCATGTGACATGGATAATAGCTGTTGTCACAACTGTAAGAACTTGATGGTTAGGCAACACAGTGCATGGCAGCCATTAAAAAAAAATAATATTGGAAGCTTTGGGCTTTGTTGGACAATAGTTACTGCTTGAAGTTGAGATGTGTCTCAACAGGTTTGCTCAAAAATAACTTTCATCATTCAGCAGAGCTTGCTCTCAAGTAAATGTGCGTAGGATTGTAGCCTTATTTTTTTTAATCTTTCCTTTTTATCACACCTTTCCTAGAAAGAGCTCAAGGCATCATACGTGCACCTCTCCACCACATTCCAAATTAAGTCACAGATCCGAGCAAAGTGAGCTCCAGTTTCCAAAAGCTGAAGCTACCACATTTGTTACTAAACCTATGCAATTTCAGCCACTATTGAATGCTTAACAACACGGGGGGGGGGGTCAAGTCTTTGGTCCTCCATATGCTGCTGGAAATTGGGTAAGGCCAAACTAATCGTATTAACTGGAGAGAACTGACTGGGGTTCCCCCACCCCATCCAGGAAAGCACTGTCTGTTCTTGACGAACAGTTAATTGCAAGCTATGTAAGCCATGTTATCTGCCATTTCTTTCTGTGAAATATAATATAGCTTTCAGTGCATCTTTTTGACAGTTGGTTTAATCTAGCTGTGTGGAGGACCAGTCTTGTATATTTGTGCTGAAAGATGGATTTGTTCCCACAAAGATCAAGGATGTGGTTCCTCATAAGAGGGGCAGGTTTGGTCCAAGCCCTTGTTACTTCAAAAACACTTCCAAGAAGAAAATACCTGGATCCAGAAGCTGCTATGAATATTGTAAGCTATTTATCTTTTTGTGTTGTATTTGCTTTAGTTAAGGCATATTTGGCAACAAGTGCTGGATTCTACAACTATTCACTCTACCTACGCTATCATCTATCATCTATCATCTATCATCTATCTATCTATCATCTATCTATCCATAGGCGCCGACTCCATGGGGCTTGAGGGGGCTCGAGCCCCCTCAAAAATTTTTTTGGGGGGGCTCAGCCCCCCCAATAATCTCGGGCGCCGGGGGCGGGGGCTCCTGCCTCGCTGCTTCTCAGCACCACCGCCACTGCCAAGGCACTGCCGGGGGGAATTTCCTTCCTCCTGGCGGTTTCAGCCCCCGCGAGAACAGGGGAATCCCGACTGGCCACACCTCCCAGCCAGCCAATCGGCTGGCTGGGGGGGGCGTGGCTTGCCCTATTTAGGGCCGGAGCCACTTTATTTGCATATTCATGAGCTTATTTATTATTCATGAGCTTTCCCGGGCCCCCCCAATATTTTTTATAAGTCCGCGTCCCTGTATCTATCTATCTATCTATCTATCTATATCTATCTATCTATCTATCTATCTATCTATCTATCATCTATCTATCTATCTATCTATCTATCTATCTATCTATCTATCTATCATCTATCTATCTATCTATCTATCATCTATCTATCTATCTGTCTATCTCTCTATCTATCACCCGTCTATCTATCTAATTTCAAAATACTATTCCTGCCATCCAAATACAAGCTCAAGACAGCTTACAACATGTTTTCTTCTTTTTCCCCCTAAGCAAGTCGGAAAGGGTTACCAATCTGTGCTCTAGTACGGTATATTGCAATTATTCAACAAAAGGCAGAAAAGTAATTTTGTAGCCCAGCGAGACCCTGAGCGATATTCAGGTGGTCAGGGGTTGGGAACCACTGCCAGCACAACAACACAACAGCAGAAATAGGCTGGGCTACAACAGAAGGCTCATAGTTCCAGCAGGGGGAGACAGGTGCCAGGAAAGTTCTCTGCCCTTGAATAGCACACTTCCCTGAAAAGCCAGAGCAAGCTGCGCAGCTCTCGCTCTTGCTGTT